AACCACTGCTCCCACTCAGGGCTGAGGCTCCTCACCCTTATGTGAGGCTGAGAAGGGAAGAAGGATGATGGAGCCACCCAGGAGGGGAGTGGGTGGATAGAGGAGAGGAGCATGGAGCAGTGGAGGAGCCCGTCCCCAGAGGAGAGGCTGGTGTGGGGAGGGCAATGTGCATGGATCAAAGCATTGAGCACTCTTTGCTTTCCTCTTCTCTAGACCCCTGAAAATTATTTTTTGGAAGCGAATCTGTTTTATCTCATTCACACTGGTTTGCTAAGGCTGTGCATATGGGAGGCTTTCCCCAGGAAATCACCCAAACAGGAGTAACCAGCCCTGTGAGCTGGGTGTCCCACGTGGAACACCAAGCATCCTGGCGCTGCAGCAGGGTCTGGAGCTTGTTCAGGACTCAGTGCTCTCCTCCCTCTGGAAATTCTTTTGAGTTACTAAATTGCTCCTGCTGCCATCTGATGGATGGGACACTTGGAGTGTGTCTGCTGTGAGAGGCTTCCTAAAGTTTTAATGAAGAGTCGCCTGGTCGGGGAGCAGTATCATCTGACAGGCTTGTTAAAAAAAGTCATGTGTAAAGTACCAAAGCATCTGCTCCAGGTCTGTTGGAGGCCTGGAAAGAACAAGTGGTATCCTATGGCCTACAAGCAGAGCAGTATAAAATCCAGAGGGGCAGCAGAGCAGGGAACTGTTGTCCCGTGCTTTGATATGCAGGTATCTGCTATATCTTCAGAGAGCTAAAAAACAGATAGGATGAAAGCCAACACCTTCTTTTGTCTCCGTGCCTAGAAACCCCAGCCCAGTATAGCCATGCTGCAACCAGCATCAGCCCTTGAACAGCAGGGAGAGCAAATTGGACCTGATGACCTTGGTGGATAATGGACAGAGAAGGCACCATCGAGAGAGCATGGGCAGCAGAGCCAGGGTTCCCGCCGGGTTGGTGGGTGCACAGTGGGACGCAGGGTGCCCTGGCCAGCTCCGAGCAGTGACGCCGACATGCACACAGTTGCTCCTTCCATTTTCCTTTGTTACTCATCCTGTGGGCCCCAGCACGGAAAACGTGAAGCTCCCTGCAACATCCCCTCCCTGTCGGATGTTGCTCACAGCGTATGTGCCCGCAGGAAGCCGGTGTCTGCCCGCAGCAGCGAGATCAACACGAGCCCTTGGCTGCTGGCGCGGAGCTGTCGTGCAGGACATCCTGGAGGGACACGGCTGGGGGAGCCCACACACGCTCGGGGTGAAGGGTCCTGAAAGCCAGGTTGTCTCGCTGTTCCCTGTGCCTGTTGCTATCCTTGAAGATGTCCCAGGTCTGCTCCCAGCTCAGCGCAGGCCCTGGTGCCTGGCCCTGTCTTGCTGAAGCAGCTTCAGCTGGGCCTGTCCATCTTGGGAGCCAACTGTGTCCTCAGGCGAGCACGGTGTCACAAAACCTTCCAGTTGGGTTTGGAGCCTGGGACTGATCTCTAATCATGGGGAGGCTGTGACCTGTCAGTGAGAGCAATGCCCTTGAAAAGACTGCAGCATGCAGACCCTGAACCCCTGTTTATGTGACATGGTAAAGCATTTGGGCTAATGCAGAAGACACCTCCATCTTGCTTGCTCACAGGGTCCATCTTGCCTCATCCCTGGCCGTACATCCTGCTCCATTGCCTGGGAGCAGTGCTCAGCCATGGGGCAGCCCAGCCTTGCCTGGTCCTTCTGGGGAGCAGGGAAGGCTCCTGGGTGTAGGATCTGTGTTCCCTGCCTGGGGTGCCCTGGGGTGTTTCATGGCTCCATGTTGGGACAGATCCCTTTCCAGCTGAGGTCCCTGTGTGCAGTCCTCACTTGCCTGGCTGCATCCCCATGGACCCCGTTCTGCCTGGAGCAGCAGACCTTGGAGAAGGGACTTCCTTAACCTACTTAACTGCAAAGGCACGTGCTTCCTTCGGGGCATCCCTCAAGGTGGCCATCTGGGAATGCTTCTGGGTGTTGGGGACATCCCTCAGGAGTGCTCCAGAGGAACTTCAAGGACATGCAGGCAGACATCATTTCAGGCTGCTGTCACGGGTGCAGGTAGGGCACGTTGCTCCTCTGGAAGCCCTGCCCTGGGGCTGGCAGGGACAGCACAGAGCTGTCCCCAGCACAGCCATCTCTCTGGCCATGGCACGTGTCCCCTGGCTCCAGGTCACAGCGCCGTGACTTGGCGAGGTGCCCGTGGTGCACTGCCCATCGCTGGGCTCTGCCACCCGCCCGGCTGGGCACTTCCCGGGGAGGAGAGCATCCCTCTTGCTGAACACAGAGCAGCACAGTGAGCCCAGCCCTTCCTGCAGGACCCCACATGCTGGGTTCTGTCCTCAGGGCAGCCGTGACATCCCGCTCCACAGCTGCACCTCCCGCCAGCTGGCACCCGACCCATGGCACCCTCCTCTCTTGGCCACAGCAGGGTCACTTACCGTGGGTGGCATCAGGTGTCCTGCTGTTCCTGATTCCTCTCCGCTGCCGGGGCTTTCCTGGGCCAGCCCCATCCCTGCTCCAGGTGAACACAAACTGCCTTTGCCAGCCTCAGGGAAGGCCCAGCAGATGCATGAACAGCCATCTGACTGTTGGCAAGAGATGATCTTCAAGTCCCCAGGCTCTTGCTCTTCCCAGGCTGTAAAATCCTCGCTGTTTTCAGGGCTTCCTGCATCAGTGTTGGATTTCACCCTCCCAGAAACCCTAGCTCAGAGTCTAAACAAGACTAGTATCAGCATCCAGGCCTTACAACAGCTAGACCTGACCTTATCTTATTTTTCTTAGGCATAGATTTCCTCTCTCCCTGGGGTGTCCCCATGCCATGCTGTTCCGGCAGGAAGTGCGTCCCTGCCCTGCCTGAGCAGTCTGGGTTTGTGGCTCTGTTCTCCATCACCTCTTCCAGGGGTGTGGCTGCTCCTCCTGAGCAAAGGCGCTTGCCAGTGATAAACACCCTCCATTCAGTGTCTTTTGAAGAGTTTGCCCTTTCCTGCTGCAAGGCTGAGCAGTGCAGCATGGACACTGGTGGGGCCATGGT